GGCGCGGGCGGCGGCGGCGGCGGTGGCGGCGGCGGCGGCGGCGGGGCAGGCGGCCCGGGCGCCTATCAGTACAGCCAGGGGGCTCCGCTCTATGGGCCGTACCCTGGGGCTGCAGCTGCGGGTTCCTGCGGAGGACTGGGGGGGTTGGGGGTTCCTGGTTCCGGCTTCCGTGCCCACGTCTACCTGTGCAACCGGCCTCTGTGGCTCAAGTTCCACCGCCACCAAACCGAGATGATCATTACGAAACAGGGCAGGTGAGCGCAGCGCCGAGGGGCCCCGAGGTGAATGACAAGTGAGTGACTGTGTGGTCCTGGGGAAGGCTGGGGGGTGAGGGAGCCGTGCCCGTTCGTTCCGCGCTTGGCTTGGAAGAGTGTTTTTCCGCGCGCATCTCCAAGCCGGGGTCCCTGCGAGTCTGCGCACCGCCTTGTGTGCGGTGGGTGCTAACGTTACAGCTGTTTCCCCCACCCCCACCCCCACCTTCCCCCCACCCCCACACCCTCCCTTCCCCTCCCCTCCGGTCACTCTCACCTGGACTGGCGAGAAGGAGGCGGAAATGGAAATGGGGGCTTGTCCACAAAGCTGGATTTACTAGCTGTTCCCTGCATACCGGCGGAGAGCCGCGGATGGGGAAAGGGAGCAGGGGTTGGCTTCCTGAGCGCAGTAGATGGGCTCCCGCAGTTTAGGCGCCACAGTCGCCGTGGGGCGCCTGAAGGAGATGGGCGTTGGAGGGTGGGTTGGTCGGGGTGGTTGGTTAGGCAGGCCCTGGAGCCAGACCTGGTGGGGTTCCGGGCGCGAGAAAGTTCTGATACACTTCCAACTGCTAATAGTGGGTACTAACGGGGAAAGCGAGGCGTGGGTGCTGGGAGAGGGGCGCTCAAGCGGAACTTGGAGCCTGACGAGTAAAATCGCAAAAATTTTAAGACGAACAACTGACTGTCGTTCTCTGGTACTTGTACGTAGAAAAATGAAAGAGTTTTTCACATCCTGGAAGAAAAATTAAGGACTTGAGTGGGGAGAGAGGGAACTGGGGAAATACTGACTTTGGGGTCGATTGTCTCCGAAAAGAGATGTTCCAAGAGTTGCCAAGTCAGAAATATTTTGCAGAATAAGGGCCACGTTATGTGGCGGTTTTCTGTTCTTTCTGTAGACTTCTAAATGTCCTGCTCCGACCTACCCCCAGGTGGCCGCAAACCCGGCCTGGAACGGGCCTGCTCCCGGGCGTCCGAATGTAAATTGTTTTCCCTGGTTCTATTCCCCCGCACAGGCGCATGTTTCCTTTCTTGAGCTTCAACATAAACGGACTCAATCCCACTGCCCACTACAACGTGTTCGTAGAGGTGGTGCTGGCGGACCCCAATCACTGGCGATTCCAGGGGGGCAAGTGGGTGACCTGTGGCAAAGCGGACAATAACATGCAGGGTGAGGAGAGAGGAGGCCCGGGCAGGGAGGAGCGGGCCAGCGGGGGGACCCTGGACTCAGATAACTCCCATTTAAATCGAATACTTCCCCCTGATCTGCAGAGGTGTTAGTATGAGTTTCTTTATATTGTTTGAATCTGGAGAGAGGGAGAGAATTGCCAAGCCACGATTTCTTGCCTGTCAATATCAACTTTGGTCCTTTTACCGTACCCTGCTCCTTCCACCCCTCCCCTACCAATTCCTACTAAATCTCCCCTACCCCCCACCCTCTGTCCCGGGGTGGGGGTGGGGTGGGGGCAAGGGCTCCAGTCTTTGAAGCCTTGAGAAAGCCCTGCCAAGGTCGAGTCCACCCATGAAAACCCAGCCACTTTCCATCAGACGTGGCCCTTCCATCTTTAGAAGGCCCCAAAATGACCTTCAAGAGACACCTCCTGGTGGTTCTATTTTTATATTTTGAGCTAGCATTAGATGACTGCCTTGTCCAGGGAAGTCTGGAGGCACAGGCGCCCTGGGTGGGCTGTGGGTGGAGTCTAGTTGGAGAGCTAGCACAGGGAAAACTAGGCTGGAAGAGTAGCTCTTAAATGTTGCCCAGAGGTAACAGACATCCCTCCCCGTGTGTCCATTTGTAATCAGCCCTGTATGCTTGGGTTTTGTGTTTTGTTTCATTTTCTCTTAGGCAACAAAATGTATGTTCACCCAGAGTCTCCTAATACTGGTTCCCACTGGATGAGACAGGAGATTTCTTTTGGGAAATTAAAACTCACCAATAACAAAGGCGCAAACAACAACAACACCCAGGTAGAGTGACAGGGGATGGGCTGTCTTCTGGCGATAGATCCCTTTCCTAACGAGTTTCCGTACCCTTCACTGTGTTTGTAATATGTGCACTTGTTCCCTGTTTGCTCGCCTATTTCTAACCTTTTTTTTTTTTTCTTTTGACCTTTCTCATTTTCACTAGATGTCAGTAACAGTGAATTGACCGTTAGGAAAAGAAATACTAAAAGCTTTGGGGGACTTCATAAACTAAGAGGAAAGAGTGTTTATCAAATATGCATGCCAGGCTGTGTTTTTAGGTTTCAAAAGCAGCAAGGATAAGATCTGAAAAATGACAATAGAAAAATGTCGCGGTCGTGGGGAGCAAGCGGGAGTCCCATCGCAAAACTATGTAGTTTGTCAAGATTTACTTTTGCTGAGCCTCTAAGAGACTTCTGGGATTTGGCGACACTTTTTCTGTACCATTTCCAGATGATAGTCTTACAGTCTTTACACAAGTACCAACCCCGGCTGCACATTGTTGAAGTTACAGAGGATGGTGTGGAGGACTTGAATGAGCCCTCAAAGACTCAGACCTTTACCTTCTCGGAAACACAGTTCATTGCAGTGACTGCCTACCAGAACACTGACGTGAGTGTCCCCACTGTCCCAAGAACCTCTACAGCCAGGTCCGGTGTGATAACGCACTCAACGACTATTTTTTCTCCCCTATCTAGATAACTCAACTAAAGATTGACCATAACCCCTTTGCAAAAGGCTTCAGGGACAACTATGATTCGTAAGTGCAACTTTTGTTCATATTTGTATGGTCACCTTTGAACAGGATATATATAACCAGACACTTTCAGAGAACATTCTAGGAAGAGTTTTCATCTTTGGGATTTTTATCTATTTTTATTTTTTGCATAGTTTTCCCTCAGCTAATCTTGCTTTAGAATTTTCACAGAAGGGTTTTGTTAATTTCTAAAGGAAGGTTAAGGGCTGAAAAATGAGGAGCTTTTTTTTTTTTTAACACTTGAGTGGAGATTTGAAATTTTCATAATCTGCATTTATATACCTTCCTTTTCATGTGAGCCAACTTTTTTTTTTATCCTCTAAGGAACAGGTATTATTACTCCCCTTCTTTTATTATTATTATTATTATTATTATTATGATCATTTTACATAAGAAAAACTGAAAACTAAGAGGATGTAATTTTCACCTTAAACAGCAAGACCCCACAATACTTTTTAAATTTGGAATTTCTAACACCACAGCCAGTGCCCCTCCCCTGACATTGACGAAGGAGAGTTGCACCTTCTTTAACTCCCAGCACTTAGAAAGGTGGATTCTCTATAGTTTCAGTCCTTAAATGCTTGGCAGGAAACTTTTCCCCCATGAGCCAAGAGTCCAGCGGAAACGGGCCAATGTGCCTCCTACCTCCGTCCCTCCACTCCAGCAGACCAGTGCTCCCAGTGCAACCCACTAAGTGAGCCTTTTTGATTTCTGGGAGGTGGTTATTTGGGGCAACATTAGGGTTTTTTTTTTTAAGTGTTTCTCTTTATATTGTAGCATGTACACCGCTTCCGAAAATGACAGGTTAACTCCATCTCCCACGGATTCTCCTAGATCCCATCAGATTGTCCCTGGAGGTCGGTACGGCGTTCAGTCCTTCTTCCCGGAGCCCTTTGTCAACACTTTACCTCAAGCCCGATATTATAATGGCGAGAGAACCGTGCCACAGACCAACGGCCTCCTTTCACCCCAACAGAGCGAAGAGGTGGCCAACCCTCCCCAGCGGTGGCTTGTCACGCCTGTCCAGCAACCTGGGACCAACAAACTAGACATCGGTTCCTATGAGTCTGAATATACTTCCAGCACCTTGCTCCCATATGGTATTAAATCCTTGCCCCTCCAGACGTCCCACGCCCTGGGGTATTACCCTGACCCAACCTTCCCTGCCATGGCAGGGTGGGGAGGTCGAGGTTCTTACCAGAGGAAGATGGCCGCTGGACTCCCATGGACCTCCAGAACCAGCCCCCCTGTGTTCTCTGAAGATCAGCTCTCCAAGGAGAAAGTCAAAGAAGAAATTAGCTCTTCCTGGATAGAGACACCCCCTTCCATCAAGTCTCTCGATTCCAATGATTCTGGGGTATACACCAGTGCTTGTAAGCGAAGGCGGCTGTCTCCTAGCACCTCTAGCAATGAAAATTCTCCCTCCATAAAGTGTGAGGACATTAACGCCGAAGAGTACAGCAAAGACACCTCAAAAGGCATGGGGGGGTATTATGCTTTTTACACCACTCCCTAAAGAGTTACTTCAACTTCGTAAAAATGAGCTAACTTTTTGCAGATGGACTTGGTGGTGTTTTTTGTTGTCTTCTTTGCCTAGGTTTGCCAAAAAGACGTTTGCATTCCACCATGATGCATCCTGTTTTGTGCAATCCTCTAAAAGAAGGTGCCAAAGCTTTTTGATTGCTGCAGGTAACTGAAACAAGCCTGGCAATTTTTTGTTTCTTTTTTAAATAAAATTACGGAAGGACTTTAAAGTGTTTTAAAATTCCAAGGTTATTTGAGGTTCTGGATCTATTTATTGGAGGCACTAAACATTCAGAGAATCGGGCTGTGAAGATTGAGTGCTGAGCGCTATCCGATGAGTTGAAAGCCTCGGTTCTCATTTCTATTTGTGAATCTGTAAGCAAAGAGAATCCCAGAGTGGTAAGATGTTTTGCTTCTGGAAGAAAAGGGCTGGGCCTTAAGCTTCAACAAGGGACTTTTTGCTGTTACTTTCTGCTGGGGACAAAAGATGCTAGGCCTAGGAGGTGAGAAAAACTTTCCTGAAGGTGCTGGTTTTACCTGACTTGGATTCCTCCTAGGCTTTGGAAACAAGCCATGTTTGCCCTAGTTCAGGATCGCCTCACTTGCCAGGCCTCTGCTGCGTGCCGGGGTGGCCAGTAGGACTCAGGAGAGGGCAGGCAAGAGGGAGTCGCCAAAAAAGAAAAAAAAGAGAGAATTTTAAAGTGTACAATTTTGTGTGTGCTTAGATACACCGTAGAATAATGTGGGATATATTGTACAAATAGTCTACATACGTGTCTGAGATCATGTAACATTGGTGCTTTGGCTTTGTAAAGAATTTCCAGATCACCTGACAACAGTTGCAGGGGCAGGGGGATTGGTTCTCTCATCATCCCTGATGTTTGGGAATATTCTGTTTACTTCTTAGATAGTTAAGAATGTATTCAGCTACTCTGTACTAACTTGAAACGTGTTTAAGGAAAACTATCTCACCCTCTTGCCATCCCCCTACCCAACTCGGTAATGTGAAGAAACTAAAACCTGATGCCACAGCTCCTATAGGCTTTTTAGAGATCTTGGATTTTTATGTACAGTCTTAGTCATTTTTAATAAATGTGGTTCATTAAGGGAACCGGCATAGCTCCGTCTTCTGTACAGTTCTACTCTTTGTTCTAAAGACCTTATTTTGCTTCTTCCTCCACTCTTCTCCAGCATGAACACTGTTCCCCTCCCTACCTCCCCCAGCCCCACCCCCATGTTCTAGAATCTGTAAGTGGACACAGTAGTCATGAGGGGGTGGGATTGCTTTTGTTTATCTTCTTCTTTTTTTTTTTTTTCCTTGAAGATGAATGGGGTTATTTCCTCGCCCCACTGGGAAGTCTGGACAATGGGTATTGGGCCCGTGGGGGTGGGGAGGAGGGGAGGATGTAGAGAGGCTGGATTGCCTATGCTGGGCCCCAGCCTGGAAAAACCTCAGCCCCCCAGCCCGTGGGTTCCCGGACCTGCCTGGGCCAGGGACCACTTCGTTCTCTGCGCCTTTTCCTAGGCTTTCTTGGGGCCACCCATCCCTGGACCCATGTGGGCTCCCCGGGAACCCCCGCGGCCCCTGGAGCGCCCACGAGTTACTGGTCCCTGAAGCGCGGCGGGAAGCGGGGCCGCCCACGGCTCAGTTTCTGCTCCGACCTGCGGCTTTTTTTTCTACGCGGAGCCCCGAGGCGCACCCCCGGCCGCGGGCGGCTCGCCTGGGTCGCTGCTGGCTGGGGCGCTTTGCGGGCCGCCAAACTTGGCCGGCGACTCCGGGGACGCTGGGGCTGCGGCGCGGGCTAGGGACGCGCGCGACGCTTACAAAGGAGGATTCCAGTCGTCCCGTGCAGTGCCGCTCGACGAACAGCAGCCTGGGAGCGGTTCGCCCAGAGTTTAGCTCCGTTTCTTTGCCTCCCATTCCCCAGGAGGGCGAAGGCCACCCCGTCCCCTGGCTGAGCCTCGGGCCCGCCGAAACGTTAAACCCAGGAGTGGGGCGGAGGGCCCTTTGTCCCCCCCCGCCAGACGTCCCGCCAGGCTTATCAGCAGACGGCTTCTTGCCCGGCTTGCAAACCTTTCCAGCCCCTTCCTGACCCTCCCGGGGTAAAGGTCTGGCCAGGAGGGTCTTTCTGCTAAACTGCGTGGCGCGGAAATGCAGCCGCTAAGAGGATTAGCCGCTGGGAGGCGAGCCATCAGCCGGGACCTCCTCCTCTTCCGCGCCCAATTAAGGCCGCCAGGAGCCTCCCCCCACTTTCCCATTCCCTGCACCCTTCGTGGGCCCGACTTCTTCCCGCGCCAACCGTGGCCTTGGGGACCCGGCCTCTAGCCCCACGTGTCTACGATGGTGCTTGTTCCAAACGCTTTGCCAAAGCCCCCCGGAATTTGACGACGCTAGAAACGAAAGCTTGGAATCTGTTTTATGCACACTTAACGGTGGAGGACGGCGTCAGACTCTGGCGGGAGGACTCGCAGCCCCCCCCCCCACTTGGTCAGCGCCCCCCGCCCCACCCCGAGGAACCGTAACGTATTGGGAGATGCGACGGGATCGCGAGGGACGGCACTCTGCCCTCTAGAAAGCCGGAAGATGCTAATCACCGCCGGGCTGCAGCAGACTCTGGCCCCGGTCTATTTCGAGTCCTGTATATTTTTGCACCGCACGTCAAAAAGAACCTGGTACTTGTGAAAAGTCCCTCACAGTGTTTAATAGAAACGTAAGTGGCTGAGTGGCCCCAATTAACACCTTGTGATAAGGCATTCCTAAGATGGAGTGTCAGACTTCAAATTGTGAAGAGATGTATCTAATTAATCCTCCCGGGATGACACCGATAAACAAGCCTCTATTTAAATAAAGATCAAGGGCTCGGCGCCCCGTTTGTTGACATTCGCCGCCAGGGTCCCCGCGTTTGCACCCGGGCGGGCGGCCTTCCCGGCGCAGGGTGGAGACCCTTGGCCTGCGGGGCTGCTGCTCCGCCGGGGTGCGCTTCACCTCGGTTCCTGCCCCCAGACAAAAGCGCACAGTGAAGCGAAGAAACCCCCACGAACGCCCAGAGGAAAACGAAGGGCCTAAAGGACCCTACTCCGAGGTGGAAATGCTGTTGTTTGCCATTTTCCACGCTGTCCTTTACCTACTCACAATAAAAAAAAAAAAAAAAAAAAAAAGGCAAACAAACAAACAGCCCTCTCCTAGACCCTGGAAGGGTTGCTGATTGGGGAAGAACTCGGGGCTGGGCCTTCCTCCGCTCGCCACTCAGCCCCGGCACGCATTCTCTCCCCGTGGTCCCAAGATTCCTTCTCGGTGCCGAAGCTGCGAACTCCGCTGGCCCCTCGGGTAGCTTTCCTGGGGGTGGGGTGGGGGGCGGCCCGCTGGGAAAGGCAGGAAGAGTAAGTACGAAAAGGGGTGCGCGGGGGCGGGGGGGGGGGAGGAGGCCGCGGACCCGCGCGCCAAACTCCGAACCAGGGCCGAGGTTCGGAGCCCTTTCCGAGTCTGCAGCAAAGCATCTCCCGACCCCGGAATGGAGACTTTCGAGCTCCAGATCAGCTTTGGATCCTAGGCTCCTGCTTTTCCAGACACCCTCGATTAGCTTTAAATCTGGGTGTAAAGGCAGACTCACGGTTTTCCCTTTCCTCCACAGTGCCTGCCTTCTTTCTGAACCAAACGACTGGGGGTGGGGGCGGGGGGGGGGGTGTGATGATGCAGTTAAAAAAAAAAATGCAGGTGTCACAAAAACGCACCGGAGTAAGAACGTTCTCGCATGCTCCTTGAGTTTAATCGAAATTGAGGCTCCAGTAGGGGCAGGAATTAAAGCCACTCATTTTCCATTGGCCTGGACGCCGGCCGCATCCCTTTTCTCGTGTTCGCGCCGCAAGGTCCCGCACTCCACTGCACGCCGACTCCAAAAGTTTGGCTTTCACTCGCGGAGATGCCGGCATCATCGGGAGGCGCTTTCAAAAGACAATTTGCAAAACGGTTGGTGAGCCCGACTGAGTCCCCTTCCATACCTGCCATAAAATCCCCATCCTTCTGTCCCCCCACCCCTCAAGTTTAGCTTTCGAGCAGGTGAGCTCCGGCCCGCGTGGACTCAGACGCGCCGAATCTGTCCACCTGCTCCCACTCTCGTCGGGGTCGCACTCCAGCGGGCGACTGGAAGAGGCCTGGGCCCAGCCCACACTGTTGGGGCTCCCCCCCCCCCCCGCGGGAACCTGAAAGCTCCTGAAACTTACGGGCATTTTTTTTTTTCCTAACATGATGGGGACTCTCACCTTGATGGCCACCGAATTTCCCTTTATTACGGCTTAAAAGAAAAATAAACCTCCTCTCCTGGAGATTCATTTACTCCTTCCCCCCTTTCTCCTTGGCCCTCGGAATCCTTTGAGCTTGGCCAAAGAAGCGCATCAAGTTCCCCGGGGGTAGGATTAGCTGCGCCACATATAGAGCAGGCCCTGGGCGATGGTCCCCAAAGGGCTTCTGAGGGATCCGTGGACCAACCCCGGAGCGCGAGTCACTGTTTATTTTAGGCAACACGGCGTGCACCCCCCCCCCACTTTAATCCCCTCACGCCCCGGCCTCCTTAAAAAGCCCTAAACTTGCTCCCATAAGCTTGTGGACTCCCATAGCAACTTCTGTCACTTTAGGCTCGCCGCATCTTTCCGCTCCCGGGCGGAGCGCCTTGCCCTTGGCCTTGGAGTCTCGCCGCAGATTCCGCGCCAAGACGCGGGAGCCTTCCTCCCCCGGGCGGCGAGCAGCCTTCGCCATCTGGTGGCCGCGGAGAGTATCTGCCCGGGCGCGCAGGGCTCCCTTCCACTCCAGAAGCCGCGGTTGTGTCGGGTCCTGAAGCGTTCGGTAAACAATTCTTTCCGTTATCCCACGCCCACTCTACCTTTTTAAAGCTTCCTGGTGTGGGGGGAGGAGCCCAGAACGTGGAATTTCTAAGACGCGGCGTTCTAGCTCTGGTCCGCGCGGCTTCCTGGCGGCAGTTGCCCTGGGCTTCCTTGAGCTTCATTCTTTTCTGCCAAGTGGGGACTGAAACAACACAGATCTCGCCTAGTAGTACCCAGGAGGGAGACATGAGACTATAAATTAGCTGCTTTGTAAACTGTCGAGGGACGCCCAGTATTCGTAGGCATTATTAATTACTGACTTTATACATGATGTGTGTTGGTGAGCCCAAATGCATTGGCAAATGAAAGATTCTTTATTAGTTCAAAAAAAAAAAAAAAAAACTACAGAAAATTTCAAACATACACCAGAGTAGAGAACAATGGACCCTCATTTATCTGTCTTCCAGCTACAAACAATCATCAACTCATGGCTGTTCTTGTTTCATTCTATAATCCTCACCTCATTCACACATCCTAGGAATTCTGACACCTAAACCACTTTCCATACATGGCCCTAAAACATGAGGATTCTTTAAAAAATAAATGTTTATATATATAATTTATCACGCCTACAGAATTAATTAACAATAATTTCTTAATATCATGAGACAGCCAAGCTTGTGTCCTTTATTGTCTCATAGTTTTTGTTGTTCTTTTGGTTTGGTTTTTTTTTTTTTTTTACAGTTGGTTGTTTTGAGTCAGGATCCAAACAAGTCCCACACATCTGGTTGATGTGTCACTTGATTCTCGTGATCAAGAAGTCTTCCCCTTGCTCTCTTCTTTTAGTTTTCCTTACAATGTACTGAAAAAGTCTGAGCATTCCTTCTAATTGTCCAGGTTCTGGATTTTGCTGGCTGCATTCTCATGGTGATAACATGATCCTCTGACCCTTGCATTTGCAATAAAGTGGTAATTAAATAGAAAGACTTGATCTGGTTCAAGTTCTGTTTTTTGATAACAGTATTTCATCGGTGATAGCATTCCACGAGGAGGCTTGTGTTGTCCGGATTGTCTTTCCTTGGGGCATGCCATTGTCCACTGAGTACTGTCCACTAGATCCGTTAATTCATTAAGGATTTGACAAAGGAAATAAATTTCAGCATATCTATTATCACCAATTATACATACATAGAAAGTGTAAGTCAATGACACTTTTTTTAACATGTATTTTTTCCCATTTTTATTAGTATATAATCGACATGTAACATTGTGTAAGTTTAAGGGGTACAACCTGATGATTTAATACGTGTATATATTGTGAAATGATGACCATAGTGAGGTTAGTTAACACTTCAATCACATGAGATAGTAACCACTTCTTTGTGTACGGGGAGAATATTCGAGATCTACTCTCTTAGCAACTTTCAGGTATGTGATACCATATTGTTCACTATAGTCATTATGCCATGCATTACATCTTCAGAACTTATTCATCTTATAACTGGACCTTTATAATCTTCTACCCTTTGACCAACATCTCCCCATTTTTCTTCTGTCCCTGCGCCCAGCTCCTGGCAAACACCATTTTGTTGTCTATTTCTATGAGTTCGGCTTTTCTAGATTCCACGTATAAGTGAGATAATATGGTCTTTGTCTTTTTCTATCTGACTTATTTCCTGTAACATAACACGCTCAAGGTCGATCCATGTTGTCACAGAAGGCAGGATTTTATTTTATTTTATTTTTTAATATTACACTAGATAGATAGATAGATTATACCACATATACAGATATATAGATACATAGATTATACCATACATATACATACATATCTCCATTCATCCATCAACGTACACTTAGGCTATTTCCATGTTTTAGCTATTGTGAATGATGTTGCAATGAACATGGGTGCAAGTATCTCTTCAGGATAGTGATTCTCAGTGACACTTTGAATGTGACAAGCAGAGTAAACCAAAAAGCCAAGGTCTCTGCCCTTTATATATCATCACAAGAAAACAGCTGTGGCCCTCTGGAGAACATGGGCCATAGAAGATTGAGTGAGTGGGGTGCCTGGGTGGCTTAGTCGGTGTTTGACTTCAGCTCAGGTCATGATCTCACGGTTCGTGAGTTCAAGCCCCGCATTGGGCTCTCTGCTGTCAGCACAGAGCCCACTTCAGATCCTCTATCACAGAGCCTGCTTCAGATCATCTGTCCTCCTCTCTCTCTGCCCCTCCTCCAAGCATTCTCTCTCTCTCAAAAATAAACATTAGCAAAAGAGAGAAAATTAAGTGAGAAAACGGACAAAGTGCATAAATTGGTAAAATTTAGCAGATGATATACTTTTATTGAAACAGTTTGCTAAACACAAGTTGCTAAGAAATCATAAAACCAGTGCATAACAAAGTGATGAAATATGTTTTTATTTGCTTTTGTACTCCCAGGGCAAACCGTCAATCTCCTAATCCCCTTACAGGTATATTTCATGAATCCATAAGGTGAAGCATCATATGCGGATCATAAGTGATAAAAACGACTATCAAAAAATCTTGATGGTTGTTCGAGGGAGGTGATGATTCCAGCCATGACAAGTAAAGAATAGTGGTTTCTACTGTTTCGTTTGGAGTGAAAGCAAGGTTTGAGGAGGGGGAGTGAGGGAGGAGGTGGGTGAGAGTCTGTGGGACTGCCAGGATTCACAGTTCCCAGCCCAGGACCGCTGGAACAGAGGTGGAAGGGGTAACTGAGAATATCATGGTGATTCTAACAAGAACAAGCATCGATTTTAAGATGGAGATGCCATTGCTATGATCCTGTCCCCTTCCTCATCCCAGACACAGTATTGGAGCCTACTCCACAGGCCACCAGGCAGGCTCCGACAGTCTGTGATTGTCACCATTTCTTTTCATAATGCCCAGTTTTAATGCCCTGAGAATATGGCCTTCTGTCAGATAGGACTTCTTCCTAAGTCCCCAAACCTATCGTCGGTCCTCGAGTCACTGCACTGGAGAGCTAGGAGGCACCTTGGAGACTGCTCTGTCCATCCCGTCATACAGAGGTAGGACAAGGGTCACAGTGCTCTGGGGCATGCCCTGCCCCCTAAGGGGTCCATTAGCTCTGCAGGATACTGTCAGTTGGACACTATACTTTAAACATAAAATATTTCAGTAAAATATTATAGTAATGGAACATAAATGTAAACTATTTAGTAATGAAAACATAACATTGTAAAGCGTAGCTTTCATTATTGTTTTTCAGGGAATGAACAAGATTTGAAATCTAAGTGGAGCAATAATTAATCTTTCTTCTTTATTTTTTGCTAAAATCTGACCCTGTCATGAAATGGCATCTATTTCTTCCTGCACTTTGACCTACACTCAGCCCTGCGGTAGAGAAGCCACAGAATCTACGTCCTGTATCCTACATATTTGCCGGTGTTCTTAATCTTGGCAGGCAGGTTTTATCTTTATCTTATGAATCTAAAATCCAACAACGTTCTCTGGAATTTTACTTCTTCCAGGATACCAGTTTTTTCCTGTGCAAAGAGAAGGTGATTGTGGGTCTAATGGATCAACTAGTTAGACTGTGTTCATCACTAACTACTTAGAAGGCTGTAGATAGAGGAGCGCCTGGGTGGCTCAGTGGGTTAAGTGTCCTACTCTTGATTTCAGCTCAGGTCATGATCTCGCGGTTTTTGAGATCAAACCCTGTGTGGGGTTCTGCTCTTGAGATTCTCTCTCTCCTATCTCTCTGGACCTCCCCTCTTCCCCCTCTCTTTCTCTCTGAAAATAAGTAAGTACATAAATACAGAAACATTTAAAAAATGGTTTAAAAAGGAAGGCTGCAGATAGGGACCACATAGCTGCTGCAGAAAAGCCCAGGGAAATGTGAATTGACGTAGCGTACAAAAATACGCACGTGCGTGCTTTTATGTGGGAGTGTGTATTTGTGCTCCGGAGCGAAATATCATTAAGCTGAGATTACAGAATATAAAATATGATTAGAATAGAATGATTTGGTGACATCTAAAATTTCCTTCAGGGATTCCTCTGCTCAGAGCTGTCAAAACAGATTGTATAACTAGACTATACCAAGGAAGGTGACCCTAGTCCTATTGATGAAATACTCTTCTGAAAGAACGTAAACAGAAGAGGGTCTCTAGGAATACAACTGAATCCTAATCTGGAGGTGGATGCCTTAAATAACTCCTTCCCATTACTCTTTCCCTTCCAGCCAAAAGGATTTAGCTTGGCGCTAAGGAAGAAAGGTTCCTGCAGGAGTCTCTAGAGAGTCAGGGCAATAATGTCCACCAAGTATATCATTGGTTTATCTATGTTTCTTAGCCCCCTTGTACTTAGGCAGGGTCATTAGAACCCAGAGAGAGAGAACAGTACGGATAAGGCCATTTGTCAGAAGCTGCAGCCTTACAAAGAGGGGCTTGGTCAAACTTCATTAAGCCAGCAACGAGGAAGCCAGTCTCTTGTCTTGCGTCCTTCCACCCTGATCCCTTGCCAGTGTCCATAATAGGCTGAACCCACTGAGAAGCCAGAGGGCCGGGCAATCTTTTGATGCAGTCATATAGGTCAACCTCCTGGGCACGAGGAAGGATGGAGAAGAGTGGAGAGTGCAAATGGCGGCAATGAGGAAGATGTGCAGCCCAGCTCTCACCCTCCCCAACCTACCCACA